AGCTTTGTCTCTAATGATCATTTTCTAAATATGGGAACATAGAATTATTTCCCTCACTAGGGAATGATTTCTACTATGAAGGATGCTATTAAAAAACCTAAGGCATGCAAATGGTCTTGAATAGCTAGTTTGATTTTGTAGACTGTATACGGCCAAATGAAAAGACAGGCTTTTTATAAACTTTGCACGAATAAAAGTAATGTGTTAAAATGTTTAGGTGTAATTTTGAGAGAATCTATGCACTGAATGGATGACGTTTATTTATTTTATTAGAGGCAGAGTTCTGGTTGTTTTGAGGCTCCTCACAGCGAAGGTTTCTGTTTAACAGTCTGTATGCATGAACTGGGCAGTAAAGCTGGGGGCAGGACTGTTTATGGAACATTAGCTTGAGATCTTCTTGCTTTGTAAGGGTTATTTTGTTAAAGTAGTACCTACTGGTACATCAGTTCTTAATTTTTCACTTCACAAACTTATGTGTCACTTGACCAAAGGTTCTGGCTATTTCGTTTCCTAGATTTTATAGAAAATATTTTATAATGCTCTTTTTGGGTATGACGACAAACTGGAGGGAGTTCAAAGAAAAGCAGCAACATGATTGGGGGCTGGAGGGATAAATATACTAGGAATGATTAGAAGAGCTAGAACTGTCTACTGTGACTAAGTAGGGAGAACAGAATCACATGGTAATAATCTACGCATATTCATAGAGTGTAAGTACCAAGAGGAGGAATGATTTCAGTGCCAAATGAACTGTTTTCAAAAAATGAGAAGGGAAGTTGAATGGATGCAGGAATACATCCTGAACTCTAGAGTGCGCTACCATAGAACTACTGTAGCTAGGGCCCACATTAAACTCAGCAGCCCAGCTGTTCAACAACACAGGCCACTAGGAATACATCTCTATGACACACTGCTTCCTGCACTGGCTCCTCATTGAATAGAGACTGCAAGGTCACTGTCCTGATTCTCTGCATGGAACTGGCCCAAGTATCTGTCTCTCTGTGACCATGACACCCTCCAATGGCTACACTGAACTGGACAATAAAATGGTCAGCCACTGAGGAGGGTTAGTGACTATGGAAGACAGAACCTTCATAGCAGATGGAGAAAAACTGGAAACTTACTACAAGATGAAATCAGAACAACTACTAACCTCATTGCATCCAAAGCTGAATGCGATCTCCCTATTTTCACTCAGGTTCTCCCACACTAGCACCTTTGTGGTCACTTTAAAAAAAAGTGAAAGGCAAACCAAATATAAAACCCATCGGACCCCTTAGATTCCCTTTTGGTGACCAGAAAGGAAGAAAGTGCACTGCTGATCTTTTTAATTCACAGGAGGCATTCTGATGTTAGGGTGCTGAGTGCCTAATAGAGACAGAGGAGCACTGCTGGCTAGGGCATATCCTGACCCATCGTTTGGGAACAACACTGTCCCGTTGGCTCCAGGGCTACAGTGGAAAGAGCAAAAGAAGCCTCTTTGTGGAGCTAAGTCAACAGTCACCCAAGGCTGCGTAAAGACTGCTGCTAGGACTGCTGTGCACCTATAACAGGGGTCGGCAACCTATGGCATGTGTGCCAAAGACGGCACGTGAGCCGATTTTTAATGGCATGCTGCTGCCTGCCGGGTCCCAGCCGCTGGCCCCGCTCAGTCAGCTGCCGAACCCAGGCAGGGACCCCGGCAGGCAGCAGCGTGCCATTAAAAATCCTGCCTGCCCTGGCCCGCTCCCTCCCCAATTGGGGCAGGGTGAAGAAGTTTGGCCCTGCCGGAGGGCAGGCAAGCTCCTCCCTCTCCCGCCTCTTCCCCCAGCATGCTGGGTTCCTGCCCCTCCTCCCCTCCCTCCCTGCCGCCAATCAGCTGACGGCCCTTGTGAAGGAGAGGGAAGAGCACAGCCCAGCTCACTGCTCCGGGGAGAAGGCAAAGAAGAGGTGGAAATGGGGCCTTGGGGAAAGAGGGTGGAATCAGGGCATATCCCCTCCAGCCCCCTGCTGTGAGCCATTCTGGGCAGGGGGCTGGGAGCATGCCCATGACCATAGCCCACACTCCCAGTCCCCTGCCCTGACCCCTACACCTCCCCACACACACTCCCAGTCCTCTGCCCTGACCCCTACACCTCCCCACACACACTCCCAGCCCTCAGCCCTGACCCCTGCACACCCCCCCACACACCCAGCCCTCTACCCTGACCCCTGCACCCCCCCCCGACCCCAGCCCTGACTCCAGCACCCCCCACACCCCAACTCTTGCACCCCCCACATTCCCACCCCCACCCTGAGCACCAACCTGGAGCACCTGCACCCCTTGCACCAAATGGGAGCTGCCCAGGTAAGCACTCCACACCCAAACCTCCTGCCCCAACCCTGAGCCCCCTCCCTCATTCTAGCTCCTGGCCAGATCCTGCACCCCAACCCCCAGCCTGCTCCTTCACCCCCAGCCCTGTGCTCAGTGCACTCCCACCCTCAGCTCAGTGCAGAGAGAGAGGAAGAGAATAGGCTAGAACCAGGGAGAAGATAGGTACCCACTCTATGTGGGCAGGGCTGGGATCTCAGACCGGCAGTGAGCTGAGCAGGGCCGGCAGCGGGGACCCTTGCTGGCAGGAGCCGGCGGCTGGAACTCCAGACCGGCAGCGGGCTGAATGGCGGCAGGCTGAGCCGCTCAGCCCACTGCCAGTCTGGTGTCCCGGCCGCTGGCCCAGCTCAGCCAGCTGCCGGTCTGGGGTTCTGGCCCCTTGCCAGCCGGGGTCCCGGCCGCAGGCCCCGCTCAGCCTGCTACCAGCCTAGATGAATGGAACCCCAGGCTGGCAGGGGGCTGGCGGCGTAAGATCAGCATTTTTAATTTAATTTTAAATGAAGCTTCTTAAACATTTTGAAAACCTTGTTTACTTTACATACGACAATAGTTTAGTTATATAATGTATAGACTTACAGAGAGAGACCTTCTAAAAAATGTTAAAATGTATTACTGACACATGAAACTTTATGGGGCGAGCCACCCCGGATCGCCCCCTTCCGCTCCCACGGGGCACCAAGATACGCAGGCCTGAGCGGTCACGCGGACTGTGGCTCTGGGAGAAGGTAAAGGAGTTGGAGGTGCAAGGGTGTTCCGCCCATCCCCCCGTGGAAGGAAAAGGCCAGGTAGGGAGCGTCGAATCGTGGAAGTCAACGAATGGCTACGCAGGTGGTGTCGGAGAGAAGGCTTTGGATTCTCCGCGCCAGCACCAGGGGTAACAGTCGGAGGAGCCAACAAGATGGGTGAAAAACCAGATTATAAAGTCAGGAAGCAAGGGGGAGAAACAGTGGCAAGGGGAGGGCAAGCCAAGGGGGTCCAGTACGTCGTTTCTTTATTTTCATATAAATGTTTTGAAGCAAGGGGGGCGGTCGCCGACACAAGATAGCCCCCAGGTCCAACGAAGGGCCGCCGTGGGTTACAAAAAAAGAAGTAACATGTAAATTAAAAAAGAGAAGAGAAGGGAAGGTATAAAAAATGAGGCAGGGTCAGCCACGAGTAGGAAAGAAGTCGTGCAAAAAAGAAAGAGAATGTGCCCCTACTGAAGGGGCAACAGTGACAGAGGTGTAAAAGCAATGTACAATTTTTTGTCTTCCAACCCCAAGGCCCCCGGGAGTAGAGGGGGGATTTAACCGCCGGGAAGCCCGCCTTATTTTGAAAGAACGAGCCTAAAAACATGGGCTTTTAAAAGGGAAGAAGGTCAAAACCCCTGTCCCAAAAATCAACCAAAACAATCCAAGCATTACGAGGGAAGGAAAAAAGTCCGTAATCTATGCCTTCATGATAGGTTACTGGTTCTGTGGATGAAGGGAAAGCGTATTGTTTCTTGACTTTAGCAAAGCTGACACCCCAATTTGTCGCAGTTAAGGAAGATGGGGATAAACACAAGGTGGGTAGAAAGGCAGTTGCGCTCAACGGTAGTGTCATGCCCATGTCTAGTTGCGTATAGGGTGGCCCCAAGGGGTCTGGCGTTTTGTTCAATATCTTCTAAATGATCGGAGGATGGGGGTTGCCCAGCAAATTGGAACAAAGGGAGGGGGAGATACGGGAGGGGAGGGATAGGAAAGGAAGAAAATTGGAGGATTCCAAAGAAATCGAGAGGTTCAATAAGGATAAGGACTGCATTAGGACGAGAACAATGCACAGCAAGACTAGGGAAATGTCAGGTTCGAAAAGGACTAGGGGTGAAGTGGAAGAAGCTGGATATGAGTCGAGGTGCCCTTGTTGCCAAGAAGGCCAATGGCATTTTGGGATGTATAAGTAGGGGCAAGGAGAGATGAGGAGGATCGTCCCTCTATCGAATTGGTGAGCTCATCTGGAGTACTGTGTCCAGTTTTGGGCCCCACACTTCAAGAAGGATGTGGATAAATTGGAGAGAGTCCAGCGAAGGCAAAAAAATGATTAGGGGTTGGAAATATGAGTTATGAGGAGAGGCGAGGGAGCGGGATTGTTTAGCTGCAAAGAGAAGAATGAGGGGGATTTGATAGTGTTTTCAACTACTGAAAGGGGGTTCAAAGAGGATGCTCTAGATGTTCTCAATGGTAGGAGATAAGAACGAGGAGTAATGGTCTCAAGTTACAGTGGGGGAGGTTTAGATTGGATATTAGGAAAACTTTTCACTAAGAGGGTAGTGAAACAGGAATGTTACCTAGGGAGGTGGTAGAATCTCCTTCCTTAGAGGTTTTTAAGGTCAGGCTTGACAAAGCCCTGGCTGGGATGATTTAACTGGGAATTGGTCCTGCTTTGAGCAGGGGGTTGGACTAGATGACCTTCTGGGGTCCCTTCCAACCCTTATATTCTATGATTCTATGAATTTAAAGTGAATAAATGAAGACTCGGCACACCACTTCTGAAAGGTTGCCGACTGCTGATCTATAACAATGCTAAGTCCCACAGGCCAGCAGATGTATGATGGCCTCCAGGATATGAAGGCAGGCCAGAAATCATTGCTCTATTCAATCTAGCAGTGCACCCTTCATATCAGAGTTCTCACCTGAGCGCTTGGTGGCCATTGGGGTGACATTTGTCCAGTGTCCAGAGTGAGGGTCATACCTCTCTACAGAGTTCAAGATGTTCAGCCCATCATAGCCACCTGAAACAACATGGGAATCAACAGCGGGTTCAACCCTGATCACTGTTTCTGCAAAGAGAACATTGCAATGCCTGTGTCTGCTCCATCTCAGATGGCTCTGGCTTAGTGACTCCTTGGCAGCTTGAGCAACACTACTCACAGCGCGTGGCAAGGCTGAACAAAAGTAAACACAGAATCTAGTCCAGGGATCTCAAACTCCAATCACCAGGAGGGCCACATGAGGACTAGTACATTGGCCCCGCAACACTGACACCCCGCGCCCCAGCTGCCCCCACTCCATCCCTTCCATGAGGCCCCGCCCCTGCCCCGCCTCTTCCCACCCCTTCCCTGCCCCCATTCCAATCCCTTCCCCAAAGTCCCCACCCCAACTCTGCTCCCTCCCTGCTCCTATTCCAACTCCTTCCCCAAATCCCCGCCTCCTCCCCTGAGCATGTGGCTCTCCGCTCCTCCCCCTTCCCTCCTAGAAAGCGCCTGGAGGTAGGCAGAGGAGCAGGGACGCGGTGTGCTGGGGGGAGGGGGAGCTTGGTGGGCTGCAGGAAATAAGATCCCTGATCTAGCCTGCAGCAGGCAGGGACTGAAGTTCTGGAGGCCACAGACAGCAGGAGCTGGGGATGACCTGAGGTGGAAGGCAAAGGCAGCCATTGCAACTTTTTCAGGAAATTGTACACAGAGTGGCCATGTCACACTGCCTCAGCAGGGGAAGAACACTGTGCTACCAGCCCAGAGGTCAATGAGAAGAAGGGAGCAAGGGAAGGTTGTGGAACCTAGGATGGAGCGGTAAGTGAAAATGTAGTGTGAGACATGAGACTCCCCTAGAATAGGACCATGACGAGGGTGGTCAGAAAACAAAACCATGGCACTGCCTTGACCAAGGGCCCTGGAGAAGCATCCAAAGAATGAGCTCATTTAAGAGTTTAAGATCATTCTCCATCTGGGACTCACAACATTCAGTGTGGGCAGGTGGGGCCTTCCAGCCTCAGAGAGGAGCTGGAACACAAGCAGCTCAGAACAGACCACTCCAGCCTTTCCATGTTCCAATGGCACCAACAGACAAAGCTACTCCCAGGTACTAGTTATCCCGCGGCTTGCACATTCTAGCCAGCACACAGCCCCCCAACTTCCTCATATCTCAGCTGGCACGTGGCATGGCTCCAGTACAAACCATCAAAATAAATCCTCGGCAGTGACTATGCAAGAAGTCTGTATGCTGACTGAGCTACCCACTATCTCAGGAGAGTGAAGTATACAACAACTGGGATTCTCTTTTAAGCTGCATTCTGCACATCCCAGGAGCCCATTATAGATGGTGTCGGCCCTGAATTCTGGGTGGGACACTAATACTTGCAGAATGCTGATGGATCCTAAGGTCACCTACCAAGGCAGTAGATAACACCATTAGCTACAACCAGTCCTGCTCCTTCCCGAGCTGTTTGCATGTCTCCCAGCATACTCCACTGATCAATATTTGGGTCATATCTCTCCATACTGGTGTGACGCCGACTTCCATCAAAACCACCAGAAACGTAGATCATATCTGCAACATAATACAGGGAGCAGATTCAGAGAGACATGAATACACACACGAGACATGAATACACACACAAGCCCTTCCCTCTCCCGCACTTCCCACCCTTTATATTATTTCATGCACACCATGTGTGTGTGTCCCTGTGCATAGAAGAGGCCTAGGGTCACTTGGACACTGCCATTCACTGATGTTACATCAGCACTTCCTTAGAATGAATATTTAAAAGATGCAACACACTATGCTTGAAACCTGCTGCATAAATCCCAGCCCAAAGGCCTTCCTTAGCTATACTCCCCCATACCGGTCTATTGAAAAATACCTATTTGTTATATTGAAATTTTTCACTGCAAATGACATTTCATCGACTGTTTTAAAACATGTTAAACTGCAACAAATGAACCAATACAGGCCCCTGAAGGTGCTCCCAGCCAAGAGACGGGGAACGGGGCTGATCTGTTAGAACAGGTCTCAGCAGTGACTTCCAGCTGGGACACACAGAAGTTGATCACTGGGAGCAGCATGTTTCTAACAACTGCCTGGGAGATGAATTCTGAACTTCAGGGTATAAAATGGAAGATTCCCACTCTCTGGAACTAGAAACACACACTCTTAGGATGAAGAAGAGGAAGAGCTGCTCTTATGGTTAATGGGCAAGTGATTTTCTTTCTCAAACTCTAAATGCTGAGAGATACAATCTCCAATCAGTTACTCCTCTCCCCTTATCAGCCACCTGCCCTCGGAAGGTGCTGACACACTGTATTTCATGCTGGCAATGGACCTGTCTGGCCTCTGTGACAAGTGCTGATCAGTGTGTACCTCCTAGGGTAGTGGCCCCTGCCAGGCCTCGACGAACATTCATTGGAGCCACTGAGTACCAGATGCCATCCTCATCCGACGTATAATCCAAGCACTCCACAGAGCTGAGACGGGAGCGGCCGTCGTATCCCCCGATCACATAAATCCGATCATGCAGGGACACCGTGGCAACATAGCGCCTCTTACGGGTGATACTCTAACACATTTGAAGAAGTGTCAAAGACAGAAAATGACACCAATACATTGAGAACTATCTCTAAATTATTCCATCCCTTTTTGCTGTTACACTGAAAGGGACCCGTTTATATAGCCAAAGTCCTCAATTCTATATGGCATACTGGGTGAAAATTATATGTAGAATCTGTGTGTATGGATCCCCTTCCCTATGGTCTCTCCCTCAGCGCGCCCTCCTCCCAGTCCAATATCCTTTGCACTATTTATTTTGCAATTAAATTCAGTTTACTTTCTGTTGCCCCCAAAATGTTCCGGAGATGTCTGCATTCCCACCACTTGTCAGCACTGTAGTAACTGTCAAGAGGGAAAGCTGGAAAGTTTGGCAGACGTATAAGGAACATCCGGGGGGGGGGGGGGGGGGAGAGTTCACCCCCGGAGCAGAATGGGATTTGGGAATTCATGGCATCCAGGCTCTTCTGGGAAGGAAATGCAGCTTCTCCCTCCCTTCTCCCACCTCCCCCCACCAGGGGTGGGGGTGGCTTTACATTTGGGGAGTAGTGTTCCTCATTCTCCATCTCAGGAGCCACTAGCTCCTCTAATGTCCTCTCTCCACTATCTCCCATTACATTCAGCAACAACAAACATGTATGTTAGCAAGGTGTCTCTGTTAAAATATCAGAGGTGAAATAGTTACTGTTCACATTTAAATGATCATCAATAAGTTTCACAGTTTTAAGGCCCCACTGCGATGAATGGGGCACGCCACACTCTCATTGAGGTATAGTTTCAGTGTCTCTGCACACTCAGTTAATGAAATAATAGTAATAATTAGTCTTCAAACGGAGCTTTATCATCATCAGATCACAGAGTGCTTTAAAAAAGAAGAAGGTATCACTATGCCCATTTCAGATAATCAAACTGAGGCACAGAGAGGTGGCCAAAGTCCAGAGAGTCCCAGTAGCAGGGCTGGGGACAGAATTCAGGTCTCCTGAGTCCTGGCACCTCCAAAACATCATTGCATGGCTCACATCCCATTCATAGTTTGATTTTTTTTCCTGGACCATATGAGACTTAATGGTGACCTGCAAAGGAAAGAATAGGGCTAGAGCCTTTTTTAAAAAGAATTCTTTACAATGGATAAAAGAAGAATGTGAATGGTTTTTTGTAAGTTTTTTTCCCTTGTTTCTTTTCCTATATTAGAAATTCAGGTTCTGTCTAGGCTCTGAGGGTGTGTCTACACACCAAAGAAAACCCTGTGGCTGGCCTGCGCCAGCTCACTCGGACTCCCGGAGCTCAGGCTGTTTCATTGCTGTGTCGATGTCCAGGCTTGGGCTCGAGCCCTAGATCTGGGACCCTCCCACCCCACAGGGTCCTGAGCCCAGACACCCGAGCCACAGGTGTCTAGTGGCTGTGTAGACACACTCTATGGTGACTGCAGACTTAGTGATATGATGACATCACAAGAAACCAAGAGGTATAGTAATTGAGAGAAAGGATTTTTAATCCCATAAAAATTTAAAAAAACCCCAAACAGCTATTTAACTTCAACAACATATTAATATTTTGGAGAAAGGATGTATTTGTTAAAAATTCCCCAACCTCATACCTGCAATTAAGGTGGGAAAGCAGATAGTGCACATGCTCTGAGACACTCAGCAAAACCAGGGCAGATCAGAGTTGACACTCCTGATAGATACTTCTGAGGTAAAAAAAAATAAAAAAATTTTAAAGCCAGAAACAAACAAAAGCCCTTCCATTCCTTTTTTTATCCATCTTAAAAGGAGCAAAAAGGTCAGAAGCCCAATTTGATAAAGTCCTTTGCAGGTTTAAATATATATTTTTTTTGGGTGCAGAGCTTATGAAGCAACTTAACAAATTGGCAATGATGCAGCCATTTATACAGCCCTGTAATCACATCACACACAGGGTTTTGATTTAATGTTGCAGGAGAGACAGCATACTTCCACCACTCTTCTCCTGCCCTGGAATTTCCCTCTTCAGTCCCTACTTTCTCCCCCTTACCTTTTCTCTTCCTCCCTCTCCCCACACTCCCTTCTCCTTTTCTGATCTTGGAGAACATCTGTAGTCCTCTAGCTCACAGAAAATAGTAGCAAGCAGGAATGGCACTTCCCTGGATAATGAAACTGGCTTTTCTACTGTAATCCTTTACTAATCTCTATGGCTAAAATATTAAGACTCCTATATAATCCTTTCCTGTGATTTAAAAAAGCCCTACTCTCAAGTACATAAGGAACTGCAGCTGTGCATCACGTTAGGAGTTCTTTACATTTTCCACAATCGAGAACAAGGAAGACAAAAATAAGGAAGATTCACTTTTGGGGGGGTGGGGAAGGAGGAGGAGAAGGGGGACGTCACATTATAACAGAGCCCATTTTGATTAAGCAACACACAAAAATCTGCACTTTTCCCGGAACTAAAAAAAACAACAACTTTGCCTACCCTATAGTAAACATTGAAATTTACAACCAAATCAGTTGCTCCAATCAGTCGTTAGAGAGAGGTTGGATACGGGGCTTAAAATGGAAATCTAGACTCAACTTAAGCTCTGCAGAGGCAAAACACACGTGTTTCCACCGAAAGGAAGAGTGCTCTACAGTATTTATGTTCTGAGTTCTTAGTGTACTTCAATAAAGTAAATTATATTTACATTCTAACTCTCTCACAGGTTTCTTTAGCTAGTCAACTCATAAGGAAGTTTCAGAAGTTGTGCATCACATACTAACTAAACCATGTTTCCATATAGAATCATAGAATACCAGGGTTGGAAGGGATCTCAGAAGGTCATCTAGTCCAACCCCCTGCTCAAAGCAGGACCAATCCCCAATTTTTGCCCCAGATCCCAAATGACCCCCTCAAGGATTGAACTCACAACCCTGGGTTTAGCAGGCCAATGCTCAAACCACTGAGCTATCCCTCCCCTCCCAATATCTTTGTTGCTCTAGGGTATAGCTGGAAAGAACACTTTACTAGATGCCCAAAAAGCCACAATCCCTCAATCAAGGAAAAATGCCATATTAGGAAAAAAAAAGAAAGGGAAAAAAAAGTAGGGCTGTTGCATGATTACAAAAAATGAATCACACAATTAAAAAAATGAATTGCGTGATTAATCGCACTGTTAAAAATAGAATATCATTTATTTAAATATTTTTGGATGTTTTCTACATTTTCAAATATATTGATTTCAATTACACCACAGAATACAAGTGTTCAGTGCTTATTTTATATTATTGTTTTTATTTCAAATATTTGCACTGTAAAAAACAAAAGAAATAGTATTTTTTCAATTCACCTAATACAAGTACTGTAGTGCAATCTCTTTATCATGAAAGTTGAACTTACAAATGTAGAATTATGGACAAAAAATAACTGCATTCAAAAATAAAACAATGTAAAACTTTATAGAGTTTACAAGTCCACTCAGTCCTACTTCAGCCAATCGCTCAGACAAAACGAGTTTGGTTACAATTTACAGGAGATAACTGCCCACTTCTTGTTTACACTGTCACCTGAAAGTGTTGTAGCCGGCGTCACACAATATTTACGTGCCAGATGTGCTAAAGATTCATATGTCCCCTCATGCTTCAATCAACATTCCAGAGGACGTGTCCATGCTGAAGATGGGCTCTGCTCGATAATGATCGAGAGCAGAGCGGACCGATGCATGTTCATTTTCATCATCAGGAGTCAAATGCCACCAGCAGGTTGATTTTCTTTTCTGGTGGTTCTGTAGTTTCCGCACTGGAGTGTTGCTCTTTTAAGACTTCTGAAAGCATGCCCTACACCTCATCCCCCTCAGATTTTGGATGGCACTTCAGCTATTTAAACCTTGGGTCGAGTGCTGTTGCTAATTTTACAGATCTCACATTGGTACCTTCTTTGTGTTTTGTCAAATCTGCTGTGAAAGTTTTCTTAAAATGAACATGTGCTGGGTCATCATCCGAGCCTGCTATAACATGAAATATATGGCAGAATGCGGGTAAAACAGAGCAGGGGACATACAATTCTCCCCCAAGAAGTTCAGTCACAACTTTAATTATTATTATTATTTTTTTTAAAACAAGCATCATCTGCATGGAAGCATGTCCTCTAGAATGGTGGCCGAAGCATGAAGGGACATACTAATGTTTAGCATATCTGGCACGGAAATACCTTGCAACGCCAGCTACAAAAGTGCCATGCAAACGCCTGTTCTCACTTTCTGGTGACATAATAAATAAGAAGTAGGTAGCAGTATCTCCCGTAAATGTAAACAAACTTGTTTGTCTTAGCGACTGGCTGAACAAGAAGTAGGACCGAGTGGACTTGTAGTCTCTAAAGTTTTACATTGTTTTATTTTTGAGTGCAGTTATGTAATAAATAAATAAAAATCTACATTTGTAAGTTACACTTTCATGATAAAGAGATTGTACTACAGTACTTGTATGAGATTAATTGAAAAGTACTATTTCTTTTGTTTAACATTTTTTACAATGCAAATATTTGTAATAAAAATAATATAAAGTGAGCACTGTACACTTTGTATTCTGTGCTGTAATAGAAATCAATATAGTTGAAAATGGAGAAAAACACTGAAAATATGTAACATATTTCAATTGGTATCCTATTGTTTAACAGTGCGATTAATCCTGATTAACTTTTTAATCACGATTAATTTTTTGAGTTAGTCGTGTGAGTTAACTGCGATTAATCGACAGTCCTAAAAAAAAAAGAAAAACTTATTGGGGAAGTGAAGGCACTTATAAATAAATATATATAAATAATATATGGAACAAATGGAAGAAAGGGGGAGTTGATAGTAATGAATATAAATCAGAAGTAAGGAAACATGGAAAACTGATAAGGGAAGCAAAGGGACACAAGGAGAAAACTATGGCCAGCAGAGTTAAGGAGGACAAGTTTTTAAGAATATTAGGAACAAAAAGAAATCTAACAATATTTGTCCATTACTAGATGGAAATGGTAGAATTATCAATAATAATGCAGAAAAGACATAAGTGTTCA